TATTTTCACAAGAAGGCAGAATTTTTTAGTTATTGTATTAAACTGCTTGTGTTTAAGAACTACTGGAATTCCCTCATATCCTCATACTAAGGTTCCTGGACAAGACCATAGCTACCAATGCATAGTAAAAGCATGAAGGCCTACAGGTTTTGAAAAATATTTAAAAGATCATAGAGGGAAAAGGCTAGAAAAAAAATGTTAACATGAAAAAAGCAGTCATTTATTCTGTGACGCCTCGAAGGCATCCGCTAAATATTTATTGAATGAATGATTGTATTCCTGGGACCCATCACTGGCTTCAACTGCTGAACACATCAGATACTAGTCTCAGATTTTTTTTCTGGTTTTCTGCTTTGTATTTTTCACAATGAAGTCATACGTTTGAACAACCTTAAGGAAAAAAAAAATTCTTAGTACTCTTTTTAGCTAAGAAGAATGGGAGGGAGGAATGGAGAAAATGATTAAGGGGAGAGAGGAAAAGGAAAAGGGAAGGATGGAGAAAAAAGGAAAGAAATTGAAAATCTGTTCTGCTGCCTCAGGTACCCATGGAAACAAACGGAACAAAATATGTAGGTACTTGCATTATCCCACTGTGATTGTGAAAGGGAAGGATGTGGGAGCTCAGTAAGAGGCACACAGTCATTTTACCCAGTTCAGAATAGAATGACTTCATTTTCTTTGTATAACCTTAACCCATTCAGTGGATCTCCCTGGATCCTTATATCAACGTCAACTTCAACATTTCCCAATTATTTCCTCCATTTCAGGAATAAAATTAAATTAGTAAACTAATAACTTTTTCTTTTTGAAATTATATTGCTAAGGTATAAAACACTCTACTTTTTAAATACACCAATTTAGCCCTGTTGGATTTTTATGATTGGAAGAGCAAGCTATTTTAAGAGCATTGCATGATAACACATATCATCTAATAATGTCGTTAAATAGCAAAACTCCTGAGATTTCTGGTGGAAATGGGAAAAAGATGTTTTCATCTTAGCCATCAATGTATTTAATGCTATTGCTTCCACTTACTATGAAAATAATCATAGATTTCCCTGAATAAAAAGGCAAGAAAACAGAGAATAAGCATTGGAGAAAAACCTTAAGCAGGATTTAAATGATCAAGACCCATCTTGACAAATTTGACACTGGAGATTTTCATCCATTTCTTGACTTTGTGATTGCAGTTTACATAAGTATTTCTCCCTGTCCCTCTCTCTCTCATTATGTCTCAAAAGAGTTAAACTAATTTTACATTTTCTATTGTCCATAGCACAAAAACCATAAAGAAAAAAAAAAAATGAAGGATACCAATTCTCTATTTCATTTTGCAATCTCTGCATTTTGAAATGTCTAAGAGGATAAAGAAACAGAATCACAAATATGTTAAGTAATTTTCCCAGTCAATGAGTCGATGTCAGCTCCAGAAATTTCTATCCAATGAGCCTCTCTTCTGTCACCGTACCCTCCTAGTTCTTTTTAGCAATCAGTAGGATTACTTATAACATGGGGTTGCAAATGCCATGATTGTGAATTCTCATGTTGTCATCTTTAAAACGTGTTCTGTTCCTAAAAATAATTTGTTTTACCATCCTGTAATAATTCATGCAGGAGTAATTTTAGGATCTGGAAATGTGCACATATTTATTTCAGCTTCACTTCCTGAGGAGGGGAAAAGAACTGTGCAAATGAAGGCTTGATTATTCCAGCTTCTCAGAACTATGGACATATTAAATTGTGTGGCAATTTTGTTTAAAGAAATCCACATGTTGATTACATGAATGTGTTCACTGCAAATTTATGAATTTACGTATGTGTTTAATATATATACATATTCTGGCTATATATTTTATTTCAGAAAAATTTCTATTTTTAAAAAAATCGTTTAAAAATCTTGAGAATGAGTATCTAAACCTAACAACCTAAACTAACCACAGTCTTTTATCTTTACAAGGCTCCACTATAGTAATTCAGCATTTGTTGAAATCAAGTAATATTCATTTTGTCAATGGACACGTTATTTTCTCAGAAAGTTTTTCTCATTATTTTCACCAAAGAGTGAACTTGGCAATCATTGTTTTCACAAAGTATAGCTGTCAATACTTTCACTTCACATTTAAAATCTACGTACTTCCCATAACCACAGTCTTTTCTTAGGATAATTACTTTGCAAAGCATTTTTCACGTAAGTATACAATTGCATACAATCAGAACAGTTGCATGACAAACTTGTAATTCAGGAAAAATGGGACTACTGATATGAAATGAAGAGTCTAAATCTGCTGGGTAAATAGGTCAAATATAAAAGCCTTCAAATTTTAATTAAGTTGATTTCTTTGTATGTCATATACTAAAATTTTCTGCGATATTCTATTACGGACATTTTTCAAAGCGGCAAATCCACTTTCTCTCTCTCTCTCTCTCTCTCTCTCTCTCTCTCTCTCTCTCTCTCT